ATCACTGAACGCTGATTTGTTTTCCTTGCATGAAGCTCTTCGAGTACCTTTCCTAACAGGGCTTCTTTGGGTTTGACCTTTAAGTTGCTCCAGATCTCCTATCCCCTTTTAGGCTTAACTAAAACAGTGTGTATGTTGATAGAGTACATTTAGTGACTCTCACTCCCAAAAACTGTTTTCCATAATTCTCTTATCTAAGCAGAGATGATTTTTTCCCCATATCAAGGATCCTGATGGTTCAGATCCATGGGAGCTGGCAAAGCCTTCCTCCAGGGAAGGCTCAGGGAGCAGTGGAACCTTCCTCTGGTCCAAGTATGAGAGTCTATGAAAGATTGGCCAGTGTACACAAAAACTAACAACTGCAGCTTCCTCCTCTTGGATGGTTGCTGCTAGAGACTCCCTAACTCCTCCTTCTGGTGTTGTACATAATAAACATGCTGAGGTTCCACGTTGCTGTGCATAGTTCATCCTGCTCCATCACAGAGAACACTGCCCACCCAATCCCTGACTTTCTGTACCCGTGACTGTTCTTTCTTTATCCCCTCATGACCCCATACGGAGTTCCAGAACCAACCCATTCAGGACCCAGCTGTATCCTAGGATTTGTATTTACTATTATGCACTGTATTGTTATCCAATTTAACAATAAGTTCCTAAGAGTCACATCTGCTTTGCTCAACTCACAATAGCCAATTGTTGATTGTAGCGGGCATTGCCTATCTTGTAAGTCAATAAAGTAAGAAATTAACGAAAGGCTGATCAAATCTATTTACGCATCCCTCACTACTTTTAGAGTAGTATAAACATTCCATCATTTTCTAGGAGTTAGAAGTGACTGAAGACTGCTATTAGTAAATTTTCTTCTGACTGTGGGGACACTTGAGAGAAAAACCCTAAGGAGCAGGATTTATTCTAGCTCATATGTCAAGGTATAATGCCAGTAACAGTGGGGAAACCATGATGGCAAAGTCAGGTGGTGGCTGGTTAAATAGTCTCAGCAATCAGGAAGACAGAAGAAGTACTAACCAAAAACTCCCAAAGTCCACCAATCAGTCACCTACCTTCCACCAGCTTCTCAAAACAGTGATAAAAGTTAGAGACTAATTATTCGAAGACATGAGACTGTAGGGAACATGTGTCATTCAAACCATAATTCTACCTTTGCTCCCAATATATTCATGGCCATTTCATTACTACCAAATGCATTCAGAGCAAATTCAAAGTCCTCAACAAATTCAAAAATCCAAATCTCTTTGGAGACTCAAGAAAAATTCTGAAATGTGAGCCATATCAAATCAAAGAAGTAACACACTTCCAACCTACAATGGAGCAAAGAAAACATTCCCATTCCTGAAGGGAGTAATGTAGACATATCAGGGAAATGTTAGACCAAAATGAGGCCAAAACTCAGAAGGGCAAACGGCAAACCTATAGCAACATATTTGACATCAAAAGTTTGTGGTGAAACCATCTGGGCTACAGTGAGAATGTGTAGCCCTGCCTCTCTCACCCTGGGACCAGCACCATGCATACACTCTCTCTGGAGCTGTCCCATGAATTCCAGCCATTCCTCAACAATCTTGGCAGCACCACATGGTGTCTTCACTGCACCTTTGCCTTCCACATCACAGCTGCACGTCTGGCTCATCAGGAAGCTCATCGCAGGTAACCCATCCCAGCTCCAGATTACCACAGCAGCTTTCTAAAGCCTTGCTGCAGGTCTCTGTGCAAGCTGCATGCTAGTAAAATAAGAATCCAGTGGACATTGCCAAGTTCTGCTGCAAGCTCAAGATACAGACGGACTACAAGGGGGACAACTTTCTATCATAGCGGTAACCTCCGTGTCAGTGAGGCAGGAAGAGAGAACACATCCTTCATCAGGAACCATTCCAGTTGTCCCTGCAGAACACAGCACAGGGTTTCTCTTCATGTGAGTCTTGTTAACCAGACCACCTATCGTCCACAGCTATTCTCAGCACATGCCCCTTTCTTGCTAGCAGGCGAGTTTCTCACTTCTTCCCACTCTTCCTTCTATTATCTCTCACTCTAAAGCTGGCAATCGATAGTGCTCCAGACTGGATGCTACATTGTCTGAAAATTTCCTTTACCAAAGTCTCCCATCACTTCTGCATTCCACCTCACAAGAAAGTTCAGGACACAGGCAAGATGTAGCCAGATTCTTTTTCACATTATCATGTAAATGGTTTCTAGTAAAATTCTCAATAGAACTCCATCCCTCTCTGAAACATTTGAACAGTTTTTACTGGACACACTTTTACTCCTGCATGTCCGAGCGGGGGGAAGGCTTTGAAGCTCTGCATACAGAATTCTAGGGCTCCATGAAGCCACATCCCTCTGAAATCCAACAGCCTACAAGCTACCTAGTGTAGGTACCGTCAGAGCAGCGGCCCCACATCGCAGTGTGACTTTTTTGTCATTGTGACAGAAGACATGATGTAAACAACCAACGAAAGGACAGATCAGTTCTGTCCCCCTGTCTGGACAGTTCACAGTGTGTCAGTGCTGAAGGCAGGAGTCCAGCACAGCTCCTGCTTGTGGTAGCAGGAACTGAGGTTGCTTGCTACATCACTACTGATCAGAAAACAACTTGAGCCAGAGTGTGGCCAGACTGTAACTCTCAAACCTGTGATCAGTGACCTGCTTGCTATCAGATCTCCCCTCTTATGAGATCCAGAGACTTTTAAAACGACCACCAATGGGACACCACGTGTTCAAACACACCCGTCTAGAGGGGCCTCTCACATCAAACCCAAACAGGCTCCACTCATCAGTGTCTCCTGGGAGTACCTCTAGAGAACGCTCTCTGAAAGTCAATGCCCAGAAGAAAAAAATCAACCAAATGACGACAGCAAGATCAACACTGAAGTCCCATGATTTTAGTATCAGTGGCACATGCATCCACGTGCGTGTGGTAGGATATGCGTCTCTTAACAAGTAGGCTCACCGTTTAACTTAGAAACACCTGTACATGAATTTGGTGTTCTGCATTATGCTACAGTTAGACATTTGGGTCATCCCAAATCTATGCTGCAAAATTCTTCCCAGACAATCAGTATACGCATACCCAGTCTCATCCCTCAGCTTCAGTGGGAAATATTTCTCCTATTCACATCAGGGAAACAGTCCCCCATTGTGTGAGGAAGAGCTCCACACCCACATCGATCTACCCTGCAGAGTTCAGCCGTGTGACTTCATCATTTTTATACGCTCTTTCAAAGACAGACAAAAGCTCTCACTGTAAAGAGTTATAATATTCACCATTCTGTGCTTTTCTGTAAATTATGGACTGAAAAATGCAATACCACAAAATAAATCTGCTTTCATAATGGAAGAGAAATCTATATAAAACCAGATAAATTCCTTTCCAAGGGAGCTACTTCTTTTCAGACTTTACTACAATCCTGTCAAACTTCAAGATTTCATACTGATATTTTTCTTTCATCTATGCTTGAGAGATATTAATTAACAAAAGCATTTTGCATCTACCAACACCTACATTCACAGACTGATCACATGGCCTTGTTCAAATTAAAAGCCAGAAGATTTCTTTAATTGTAAAACAAAGGAGAGGCTCACTGGGTAACTCTAAAGATGATAACACTGACCACAGCAGTTAAAGAGAGAAACATCCTGGTGAGTGTGTGTGGTTTAAGAATTAGCAAAGCGAGAAGCCAGAGAGAACACAGCAGGAAGGGCAGTTCCTTCCAACATCCACCAAGATTCTTTAAGGCTACCCAAACTTCAGGTGTAGAAAAATGAGGTCGACAGCATGAGGAAGCATGAACGTTCTCACTTTGCTAGGCGTGCTGTGGTCCTGGGGGCACAGAACACTCAAAGCTGTCGGCCGAAACACTCCTGTGGGGCAAAGCTTCAGCAGAAAGGCCTAGACTGATAAAAAGAATCCGATTGTGAGTAAAAAAGGGTCCATGACAGCAGAAGGACGGCAGGGATGGACGTCCCAGGGACACCAGGACCGCAGTGCCCTTCTCTGGAAAACAACTCTAGGAGGAGCATCACCCCATTCAGAAACTATTTGATAAGCCAAAATTTCCCCTTAATAGCACATGAAATTATCTGTCTTAAAGAATACCTGCGGGATCTCAAAGATGTATAAGAAATGAAGGAATAAAAAGCCAAATGATGCTCCCATAAGTAGTGACTCAATGGAAGACCTATCTACAAATCAGATTCAAACTAACCTAAGGTTTAATACGATAAATGAAACTATTTACCATCAGCTTCGGAACGCGTAGAACAACAGGACAAAACCCCACTCATTGCAGAAATGGAGAGTAAAGTAGCGAGTTAACAGGATTTTCTCAGGCTTGAAAAGAAACACAAAGTGGAAAGTAAGAAAATTCTAGACAAATAAAAACAAAGAGAAAGTAATAATTAATCATGTCCATCTATCTAAAAAGGAGCAACCTCTGAAGAGGAAAATGAAAGTAACAGCAAATACTAAGAACATGGGTGGCACAAGAATTGTTAAATAAAAGGGTTAAAATTATAAAATTAAAAAGCACTTTATGTACCCCAGAATACCCAGCAGAACCAGCCACTAATCTTACTAAAACAGTTGGTCACATGTGGATCACCACAGAACCCCTGGGGAGTCCAATGAGCCTTTCACAAGGACCACATATCAGCTATCCTGCATATCAGATATTTACATTACTATTCTTAACAATAGCAAAATGACAGTTATGAAGTAGCAACTAAATAATTTTATGGTTGGTGGTCACCACAACATGAGGAACCATATTAAAGGGTCACAGCATTAGGAAGTTGAAGAACCACTGCCCAGGAAGAATGGACAAGATGGAGCATGCTCCAATCACAGTATTGAGACGATGAAGGATCTTAGGGAAAGAGGAGCTAGCAACATTACATTTGAATGATTTGTGGGCTTTGTCAAGGAAGATACTTTCATGCCACAAGAATTTGTGACAGCTACTCCTGCCCAGTCTTTGAATACTTACATTTAATTCCTTTTTTAGCACTTCCTTGAGAAGATGTCCTGCAGATTCTTCATCTTTTGTGTTCATAACCACACAAATCTCTTGTGAAATTTTCTCTGAAATTAAAAGTAAAAAAGTTTTTAAACTTTATCATTCAAAGAAAACATAGAACAAAGCCTTATTATCTAAAAACGTGTGGTTGCTTGATCTTCATCCCCCTTGAGTAAGATGAGGCAGAGTCTAGCTCCAGGCCAGGTAGAGTAACCTGAGCTACAGGCTGAGGCATCCTGGATTCTGTACCAGCCAGGCCACTGTATCCTCACATCACACACAGTGCAGTAGGCACCCATCCAGCACATAGACAAGCTCTTGGTTTACATTTTACAAGGAGTAACTAGAAGTGACCATCGTCTATGTGACCACCGCTAACCATTCTTGACCAGGAGGAATTTCCCTGGTTATCAGATAGTCCCACTTATAGACAGATATTTTCTTCAAACCATTCCCAGGTTTTTCTTTGGCTTGTGCCTACATGGTCAATTCAATACAGCTCAGTTCCAGTTGGGATTCTTACCACAGGAAATGAAAATGGCTGAATTTTTCTCAAACTTGTTAGCTTGTTTGAGATAGCTTAAATGTTTAAATATAAACCATGTGACATGGTGGCGTTCACCTCTGAACTTCCTGAGCATTCTCCCAAAAGACATGAAGTCCTTCTCTAGAGGGAGCTGAGGTGCTAAGGAACATCACTACAGCTGTCGAGTACACTACACTACAGAGTCTTGAACTAAGAAGATAAAAAACAAATTGAAAATAGTATTTACCAGTCAAACCTGGCTGGGTCAGCACCAACCTCGCTGCATGATACATGGGTGGCTTATGTCATAGGTTTTCTACAGGAATTAATCAATTGATAATATTTTTTTCAAGCAAAGCTAGATAGGACAGTTAAGATAATACCACCTGAGTGATAATGCTCCTTTTACTAATTTCAATTTGATCAGGAATTTGTTTACAAAGTTACAGTAATGTGGAGAACATGAAGACCATGGAGAAAAGAATTATTGTGAATATGTACAGTAAGTCAGAGTCTTCACTGCAGAGAAGGGGACAGACACTCATAAGATCCCAGGGCTCTTAGTAGTAGAAAAGGAACACAAATCCCAAAATATTACATTTACAGACCTACAGCTGCCTTGGAAGACTAAAATGGGCATGGTGGAAAGAACATGGAGCACTTGGTGACCCTGCAAACATTCCGACATTCCTTCATTGTCATCCTCACATTCAATGCCTCAGTGTAAGCATATATCATTATCAAAGTGGTACTACTCCTGCCTTCATGCCAGGATATTTATATTCAGGTATCCATAAAGACCACACCTTCCTAGAGGGATACCACACTTGTAATAGTTGTTATAAAAAGCTGATCACACACTCTTTGCTCAGACTCTGCAGTCGGGATAACTGCGCAAATGTAAACACAGTCATTCCAGTGGATTGCGAAGGAGAGCATCCCTCTTCTGAATGCAGATCTTCTGCACTAAGCTATGCTACATTATATCACCTCTTCTCTCAGGCATCTACTTGCTTACTTGCTAAGGTTCTGTTATTCCCAGAAGTCTGTAGGCACACAACCCTAATAAAATCCAGTCCGATTAAGAATAGAGACAAAGTAGTCAGCCTGGAAGTGCTGTGGAACATCACCACGTTATCAAAGACAGACTGCTGACAAAACAGGTGACGCTGTTTAATCAAACGAGATTAGAACCTACCCTGGAAAGGTGAGTAGGCTTTGCTTAGGAGTGGAAGCAAGGAATCTGAAGGAATTCACAGAGATAAAAATGAAAACAAGATGAAAAAGGTTGGTGTCAGGAAAGTACCCATAAGCATAGTGTGATCTATAAGCAGCAAAATGAGTAGGAAGTGTTGAGTAGGAAAGGCTCAGGCAGGAGATCCATCAAGGCCAAGGTCATGAGACCCCCTCCCAAAAGACTTTGAGGACAAGGCAACCAGCCTCCATTCAGAGTCTGTTGAAATGAAGTCAACACAATCAATATACATGAATTTAAATCCTTGGAAGGAAATGTGTCTCTCCAGCATCGTTGTAAATGCCGAGGAATATTTCTAAATATGTCTAATACACAAAAAGATGCATCTATGACTACAAAGTAACTGCCAACACAACAGTCAGTGTGTCAGCACTAAAGCACTAAATCACTTTTGACAAATTGATAAACTACATATAGTTAAGAATTGAATTATTTTAATTCAAATATAAAATAAATATATAAATTGTTCCCTTTTTGCTTTATTATATACTCCTATGCACGTATACCCACTCTGCTCAAGGTAAATTACTAGTACCAAAACTAAAGCCGGCAGTTTTCTACCTTTTTAAAAAAAAAAGTATACTAACAATTAAATCTTAACTATATTTGGCATTTATCTTAGACTGTATTTCAACTATTCTAAATATAGAACTTTTACTTAGGAATCTTTCATTGCCATGTAAATTTTCCAATAAGTTTCTGTAATTCAGAGTTTTTAAAGAAATAACATCATCAAATATTACATTTTTCAATGATCATGATTCAGTCCCCAATTTTTTGATATTTTCCTTAATTATTCCAAGCTAACAGTGGTTTATAGCATTTAGCACAGAGTTGTTTTACAATGGTTCGTTGGTAATACTGTCAACTGACATTCTAATTTTATTTTCTATTTCAGTGCAAAATTATTTTTATCCGGATCTTGCAATAATTCTGTTAAGTTTGTTTATAAGCTCTAGTCTTCTATATATATAAACTTCTAAACAAAGGATAAAGTCTTTTCTTCCTTGCTAAATCATAATTGTATCTGAAAATTTTTAAACAGAATTTTATAATCTCATTAAGTCTGTCATATTTATAATAAATAGTTAAATTATTTACAGGTCAGAAGTATTTTTATCTATCCTCCACAAATTGTATAAAATTGATAACATTTCTGTAATTTTTAGAGTTCATGAGTAGAGCTGCTGTTTTAAATTATGAGTGTCTATAAGCTCTATTCTATATCAGTTTAAAATGCTGTGTTTGTTTCAAATTATGTCCATCTAAATTCTTATGACTGTCAGCAAAGAGTGTTCATAATGACTTCAGTGTTCACAGGAATTTAATGTTCCTTTTTTCATTTGGTGGTAATTATTTAAGCCTTTAGTATTTGTCCTGATTATCCTTGCGAAAGTACGAATCATTATATTAGCATTTTCTTGGAATAGCATTTGGAATCAGAGTGCTATGTAACAATATAAATGCACACACCTAATCCATCACCCACTTAGCACACAGTTATGTGGACGGGGAGTGAAGGACCCATATGGAAATAATAAAGTAATGAAGCAAAGAATTGCCACGGCATGGATCTGCGAAACCAGGTGAAGGCACGGCAGCTTCCTGTGAGGTTCTTGCAAGCTTTAAGCTTGAAAACATCAGAATAAAAAGTGTCCTTACTTTACAAAACAAATAAGATACAAAGACAAATACGTTAAACTATCTTAATAGTAAAAGATACTAAAATTCCCAACCTTAAAGATCATGAGAGCAAAACCTAAGTGAAGAGGATCTAGATTCAAGATGAGAGACAGAACACTGGTAAATGGTAGCGTTCCCTGTGTGACCAGCTCACGTAATCAAGGTCCCACCGTTTGTTTACCACACAGTGGTCTGAAACGCACCAGCTGTCTGCCCTCTTATACCTTCTAAGGACCATATGCATATGTCCTCTATTTAAAATGGCAATTTCACCATCTGCTCCTCCTCCAAGACCAGACTAATAGAAATCTCCAACTATCTCTTCAGACTCAAGGCTCCGTCTGGTGGACTATGAGAAGTCACTCACAAGCCATGCTTGTCCCTGCCTCCACGCTCTTCAGAGCAGTTTTGCTAACGACTCATCAAGCTTCTAGCCTACATTTTGGGAAGTTCCAAAAGTGATCTGATTCACAGCCAGATTGGAATCTCTACTTAGCTGACACTAACTTTCTATAATGTGGCAATTATAAAAGCTTCCTCTCTTTACAAAATATGCAAATTGCCTACCATAGTTGATTAGCCCCCCTCGAGCAGTGTAACTCTTTTGAGGTAATAGTTCAGTTTCTTTTAATCTTCTTACATACTGTGGCAATTGGAGACTGGTGAGTTCAGAAAGATATGGTGAGCCACCCAAGCACTGAGTCTTTCTACTTCTCATGAAAAACTATGAAAGAAAACGGACCCCAAACAACCAGCACGTTTATCTGCAAGTCTCCCCAATGTTTCCAGTTTATCAGACTCTCCCAATACTCTAAAGATGACATGTAAAAACAACATCACGTTTAACAACTGTAAGTACCAGGAACTGAACACGCATTTAATAATAAAGTCTTAGAAAAAAGTCAATTCAATATCTGAGATGCTTCTGGAAGCATTAGGTCATTCCCCGGTAGTATGTTCAAGTATGAACTGAGAAAAGAAAATTTTTAAGAAAATCCAACAAATGTCCTACTGAGCAACATCGCCAACTCCAGTAAAACCAGTGAATGATTATGGGCCATTCTAGTTCTGGTCCACCTTACAATGAAATAGGGAGCTGGCTCACTGGGAAAGACCACATACTGTAAAGGCCTGAGGACCTGGGTTTGAATTCCCAACACCATATAAAAACTCAGGAATGGACTGGCAGAAACAGGACAGTTCCTGAGCCTTGCCTGACTCCAGCTTTAGTGAGAGACCCTATGTCAAAGGAATAAGGCAAAGCATGATAAGAAGAACACTGTAGGACTTTGTCTGACCTCTATGCATACATGGGCACAAGTATACACACACACACATACACACCACACACACACAGGTACACATTCACCCCACACATAAACAAACACAACACACACATGTACACATACACATCCCATACAAACATACCACACAAACACAGAAACACATGTATACACATATACACAACACAAACATTTATACATACAAACCCCTATATGCAAATATGCACACATGCACACATGTATACATACATATTATACACACATGTACACACATACACGTTTTAATTTGTATGAAAATCTCCAACTTCTGGCCTGTGT